ACAAAAATCCGATTGTAAAATGCTAAACTGGACCCTGCTAAGGACTATGAGCGCGCCCGCGGGCTCACGCACACACACACACACACACACGCGCGCGCGCGCACGCTCACACACTAATCGCCCCGCTGGGGCGAATTATTCTGGGGAAAACAATCACGGGGCGGAGGCTCTATTGTCGGGGAACTGAACGCAGCACATAACCGGGCTGCGGTCAACAGTATCCGTGTGTGAGAGAGAGAAAAGAGAGAGAAAGAGAAAGAGAGAAAGAGAGAGAGAAAGAGAAAGAGAGAGAGAGAGAGAGAGAGAGAGAGAGAGAGAGAGAGAGAGAGAGAAGGGAGGGGGAGGGGGCCAAGCCAAACGCTCGGATAGCGAGTGGGGGATGGAAAGCAGCGCATGATCTCAAGCCGCCAAATAAAAAGAGAGGCACAAGATCCTCGTACCTCTGCTCGGCGTCCGCCCCAGTTGGGGAGGGGGTGGCGCCGGGGCGGGCGGGCCACTTGCGATCGGGAATGAATCAGAGTGCCTTTTAACTGTCGGGAGTCCATCAATTTGTCTCGTTGAGGTGAATAAGCCGGGCCAGACCAAAGGGACCCCGGCCGGAGGGCACCCGGAGGGCACCGAGGCCCCACACCTCCTCCCCTTTTTGCTGCCCTCGCCGCCGCCGCACCGGGGGCCCCCGGGGGCCTCGGCGAGGCCCTCTCCGCAGAGAGGCCGGTTTCACACGCCGCCGACGAGGCCCCGCGCCCGCGCCGCGCTATGGCAAGCAAGACTGGGCTCAAGTGCACTCGGATATCCCCTTCACCATCCCCCTGTAAGCATGCCCAACAACCCCAAAGCGAGAAGTTCGCGCAAGATGAACTGCGCTGTATACGACGAAAGTCCTGCGCCAATTTTCACTATCACGCCCCACAGCAGCAAACTTTGCGAAGCAGCGGGCTCACGTGACCCCGGCCCATTAGCGCCATACACTCCTCTGGCAGGGAAACCATCAAAGGCGCACCACAGACTGGCATATCAAACGGACCAACCTACCAACAGTCGGGGAGAGTCAATACTGGGCTGTCGATGACGGGCGTCGGCTCACCTGCACCCTCGTGTGTGTCAGCGCGAGCAGCCGAGCGAGCCTCTCCTCCTCCTCCTCCTCCTCCAAGGTCGCAAACAACGCCCCTCTGCCCGGGACACATGCATACTATACTTGTAACGCCTCGCCGATGTGAAAGTCAATGTGCAGAGCGGCCGCGCGCCGCAAAGGGGAGGAAGTGAAGTGAAGTGAAGTGAATGCGAGTGTGATTCGCCGCGCCTGCGCGCGCACGCCGCCGCACACGAAGGGGGTGACATGCGCCGCGCCGCGCCCCGCAAAAGCAAACCTGAAGCGGTGACTTAACGACTTCCACAAATTCCAATCTCGGCTCGGGCGCACCACCACCCTGCTTCGTCGAAAGCCGAACGACGACGACGAACGAGGCGAGCGGCGGCCGCAGCAGAGAGCCCTTCACTCGACGCGCAGCTAATCGCCTCGCAACACAAATGAGAGCCCCAACGCCAGCCCCTCTCTCGCTCGTTGGGACAATGGGGCCCAAACGGCCGCCACAGCTTTACACACCACCCTGCCCACCCTCGCCACCCCGCGGGTCGTGGAACGTCAACTCCCCGAAGTCGCACCTCCACTAGAGGCGCCCTCCCAAACGCGTGTAACTCTGCACGCCCGCGCGCACACTTGCGTGCTTGTTGCCACCAGGGCCCTGCCCCGGGAGCAGCGTGAGCGCCACGCCCCGCCACTTCAAAGGAGCCGCGGCCGCCGCCCAGCCAGGTAGGCGGACAACAGCAGCAGCAGCAGCAGCAGCAGCAGCAGCAGCAGCAGCAGCAGCAGCAGCAGCAGCAGCAGCGGCGGCGGCGGCGGCGGCGGCGGCGGCGGCGGCGGCCCAAGGCGGCGGCGACCTCTGCGAGTTTCGGGGGTGTCCAGAAAGCTGAAAGCAAGCGCCTTATCGGGGTGCAAACAGACGAAACCACAACGCGCGTCGCCTCGCCGAGCAGGGGGGAGGGGGAGGAGAGGAGGGCGTCGAGTCGTGGCGTGATCGGGAACACCTCATAGAAACACGATCATAATGAACGGGCAAAAGGGGGGAAAAGGTGCCACAATGGGGCTGCCAACGCGTGATATATCTACCGGGTCGGCATCGACCCGCCGCCGCCGGGGCTGTGCTGGTGGTCCACGCGGGGGCCCGGGGGAGGTTAAGGGGTTCACCGTGTTGTGTTGTGTTGGCCCCATTTGCGGATAATCAAATGCCGTTGATATCATTATAAAACAATTTGGGGCGAAAAAACGAGGCGTTCCGGGGCCTCCCGGGTGTCGGACCTCACACACGCACACACACACTCACGGTGCCCCGGCTATCGACTAATTTATTTCTTCATAAAGGCTTATTATTGAGCCAATCGTTTAGCGGGGCGTCGATAGAAGGGAAAGGGGAGGAGTCGGCCGTCAGCTGGCGTGCGCGCGCGCACAGCGGCACAGCAGCAGCAGGAGCGCCCTCCAGGACGCCGACAGACGGTGAGCTGCTGCTGCATTTCGACATTTTCCGTTTTCGCGCAGCTCTCCTCATTCCTCGCGCAAAAGTTGTTGTTCAAAACCTGATTGTGCTGTCGGGTCGGGCGGCACCGCCTTTACGGATGTGCAGAGAGGCGACCAAAGCCGCCGTGCTTCCGAAACCGCAAGACAGGCAGCAGCGAGGCGGGGCGGGGCGGGGGCGGGGCGGGGGCGCGGCGGCAGACATTGTGCACCGCGGCGGCGCGGCGGCAGTGAATTAAGGCGGGGAGCTGTTAACGATTTGCCGCAATGATGAAAACGCTGCATCACGTTAGCGAAGAAGCGACGCGACAGAAAGGAGTGGAGAGAAAAGTAGGCGAGAGAGGAAAGAGACGCAGCAGAGAGCGCCGCCGCCGCCGCCGCCGCTGCCGCTCTGCACAACCACTTTCCGCCAGCAGAGGCAGGCAGAGCAGGATGACATTTCCGAACGCCGCGCGCGTGTGAGGCGTGGCGCTGCGTGGTGCGGGCGGCGCGTTGTCGTTGTCACTGCGCGGCCGGCGCCGCAGGGATGTTCAGAGGAGAACGGCAGAAATAAGAAAGAGAGAAAAAGCAATGGAACATACGCGGTGGCGGAGGGTGGTGGTGGCGGCGGCGTCCGACCGGCCGACCAGCGCCGGCTGGTCGTAACCGGCACGTACTTGATGTAGTCAAAATGCAGTGATTAGGCGGAGGGCCCCGGCGGCGGCGGGATTCCTCCTCCTCCTCGGCCGGCAGTCGCGCCCCGCCCCGCCCCGCCTCGCCCCGCCCCACCCCGCCCCGCTGCGCGACACGCCCCGCCGCACGCAAAGCTGCTATGCGCGCAATTTCATTTACGACCAGTTTCGGCTGCTTTTCGGCGGCGTCGGCCGTCGGCCCCCCTGAAGCATGCAAAAGGGACCGGGCGGCGGCGGCCTGTGCCTTCAGACGGACAGTGGCGGCGGCGGCCGAGGGTCCCGAAGGGTGTGGGAGAGAGGCGCAGGAGGGACCGAGCAAGGGGGAAATGTGAAATTTCGCGCACCAACTAACCAAACCATTCCGGCTAAATGCCCCGAACGCGTACCCTCCCTCCCTCGTTCACGCTCTCTCTCACCCTCTCTCTCTCTCCCTCTCTCTCTCTCTCCCACACCACTAGAGGTCCGTTATGGTGACAGCGGCGCCGCCGCCATGCTTGCCGTTGCGGGCCGACAATCAACCAATCAGCGTCGAGGGCAGAGAGAGGAAAGAGTTGACGCGCGTCCAGCAGAGAGGAGTGAGGACGAGTCGGACGAGTCAGTTGTACACGACACGGCTTGTCAGCGGCGGGGCGGGGCGGGCCGGTCGGATGTGCCAATCACAATGCTAATCGCGGGGCACAACAAGTGACATGTCCAGCGCCTGTCGTCAGCCTCATGACACACGGCCCCGGGCGCGGCTCTAGCTGTCACGACCGACGACGACGGCGACTGACGCGCTCAGTTTTGAGGCTTTTAGGTCGCCCCTGAAATAAATGAAAGGAGTCGTGCCGAATCGCGTCACTGACGCGGCCGCGGTGCGACACAAGCCGCGCACACATGGCCGCGCCGACATCGCCTCAAAAGAGAGTATAAGTTTCCGTGGCGTAAGCGAGCGGTACGAATAAAGTGTCACATCGTGACTGCGGGCCGCGAGCGCGAGAGATAACTGTTGTTATACATGCTGTCGCGAAAGACGCGGCGCATAAGTGGGGCTTGAGTGCAGAACACTGACGTGGAGGCAGCATGTGTGAGCCCCTCAGAGCAGAGGCTCGTGTCAAATTAAGCGGCAGGCGAGCGTCGTTTTGTTCTATGTAATCACCGTCTTTAAGCAGGCGTACTTACCTCTCGGCCCTGTATTTTCGGCACCATTCCGGACTTTGAGCTACCCCACGAGCTCTAGGCTTACAAAGAGGCGCCCCATACAATAAACACACCCCGAGGTGACGTGAGGGAACATTTGGGCGTCAAAAACGTTCTCTTCCCCGAAACGTACCCCGCACTTCTTGGGGGCTCCCGGGCGCGGGAGGGCCACCAGCACCGCACAGCTGCTCGGCGGGTTTTACTGCCCTGAGCGCCGGCATTTGCGTCGCGTCGCTAAATGTCGTTTAATGTGGGGACACCTAAATCTCCTTCATGTATTGCTGAAGCCAGAGTAGCCTATACAAACACAAAACAATGTACAGTACAAACCCGGTACCCTTGGTGACGTACAATGCACCGCGAGAACAGCGGGAGATAGCTATTTTTATATATTTGTATACTTCCATCGTGGCGCCTTTCTGCCCCGAACGCGTAGGCAAGCCAAACACACGTTCGCATGCCTCGCGGCCTATGCACCTAGCTGTATATAACTAAACATGTCGGCTGCCCACACACAATATCCAAGAGTGTCGCTGCCGTCGCAGCGCCGCCGGTGACATCGACGCGCGTTGGGGACTCACCTGCAGCTTGCTCGCCGTTGAGCCCGTCAAAGGTCTTGCTCGTCATCTGGAACAGGGCGTCGAGGGGCGAATTGCCGTCCTTGCCCTGCTGCTGCTGCTGCTGTTGCCGCCGCACATCCGGGCTGGGCGAGCAGCAGTCGCTGGCGGTGGACGACCGGCCCGACGAGCACGCCGACGACGACAGGTCGGCCGACTGCGGCCTCGACAGGGACAGCGCCTGCTGCGCCTGGTGGTGGGCCGCGGCCTGCTGCTGGAGGTGGAGGTGCTGCTGCTGCACGTGCTGCACGTGCTGCTGGTGGCGGCGCAGGGTCTGCTGCTGCTGGTGCAGCCGCTCCATCATGATCGCCGGGTCCAGCATGCCGCCGAAGTCCCACGGCCGCACTATCCGCGAGGCGGCGGCCGAGGCCGCGGCGGCCAGCATGGCGGGGCTCTGCAGCATGAGGCCGACGGCGTGCGCCGCGTCCACCCGGTGCATGGCCGAGGGCGCCATGGGCACGGGCGACGGCGGCACGGGGCTGTGCGCCGGCCGCGGCCTGTGGTTCAGGATGTCCATGATGCTGAACGACTTGACGCCCGTCGGGGAAGTGCCGCTGGTGGGGGTGGACTCCGAGTCGAAGGCGGGCGGGGGCGGCGGCGGCGGCGCCGGAATGGGGATGGGCAGGCTGAGCGCCGGCGGCGACGCCGACTGCCGCCGCAGCTTGCGCTGCTTGTTGATCTGCATCATCTTGAGCTTCTTGAGCGGCTTGAAGTAGTCGTCCTCGAGGCGGTGCTCGGGGCTCGACGACCCGCTGCGGTAGTGCCGCTGCCGGTGGAGGTACTCCTCTTCGTCCTCGGACATGGTGTCATCGCGGACCTGCGTCTGCGGCGACGGGCAGCCCACAGAGATCTCGTCGTCGTCATCCTCGCGGATGCTCCTCGCGCCGGGGCTGTCCGGGCTCAGGGGCGCGACGCGGTCGTCGCCGGCCGACGAGTCGTCGGGCGACGCCGGCGCCATTCCCACGACCAGGGGCTTGCTGATGTTGTTGTTATTGTTATTATTGTTGAGGAGGAAGTGCGGCGGCCGGGGGAGCTCGTCGCTGGGCGAGACCTCCATCAGGGTGGTGCTGCACATGGGGGGGCCCGGGGGGGTCTCACGTCAACATCCCATATCACACACACGCACTGTCACTGCACTACACACACACACACAAACACACTGCACACGCGCCTCGCGCGCTCGACACGATCCTGAAGCGACGCGCAGCGACTCGGCCTGCCTACCGGCACTGACGGCGTGCAGCACTGGACTGAGGAGCGGTGCGCCGTCAGGGCCCGCCCGCCGCGCCCCCCCTCCACGGCCGCCCCTGCCGCCCGGCCGCGGCCGCGCTCCCATTGGCCCGCGGGCGGCGCGAGGCCACGCCCAGCGCCGGGCGGGGGAGGGGCGCGGGGCAGCGCTGACAACGCCGGGCTGCTTTACCGCCGCGCCCGGCTACGCCCGGCCCGGCTACGGCTGGAGTGACTTATCAAGCCTGCTACTTTATGCTCATTACACTCTCGCTCCCGCCCTGCGCGCTTCCTTCCGAAGCCCCTCGCTCACTCTTCGTTTCCCAGCGCGGCCGCGCAGCCACCACGACGACGCGCCGTAATGACAAAAAATAAGAATGAGCCGAAAGGTTTATACGCCCCACCTCGTATGTGCGCTGGTTTACCACGGTGCGTGCGTGTGTGTGAGTGAGTGTGTGTGAGAGAGCGTGAGAGAATACGGTGCGCGCGCGCGTGTATGTGTGTGTGCAGTGCTCGACACGACACGTTGTTTGTCACGGACCCGCGACAGCCGACAGGTATCACTCATTACTCTCGGACAGACAACACACACACACACACACCACCACCACTGCTACTTACACTCTCCTTTGCACACACAAGACGGACGCGCGAGGCGCCGGCCACGACGACGACGACGACATGGCGGCAAATTGAGGATGACGCGCGGTCTCGGCAAACGAGACAGGATAAAAACCGCGCGCGGCGGCGGCGGCGCCGAGGTGAGCCGCCGGGGCAGAGCAGCACGGCAGCTGAACAGCGGCGGCAGCAGCAGGAGAGGCGACCGGAAATCTGTTTCGTGAGCTAATTACGGGCTGCATGTATATTTAGCGGGGCGGCCAATGAGCCGGTGCGTCGCTGCCGGGGCCCC